GAATCTTTCATGGGTCTGTTCCGTGGACAGGGATATCTCAACCCGAGTGTAAGAGTTTGGCTGACCAGCACGAGGCTTGAGATATCCCTGTCTATGGAATAGACCCATGTTGGATTATATTTCTCACATACAAATAAACAAATTCCAGTCGGAATAAACATCGATCTTATTCTTCCGGCAAATCCAAAAGCCCTAGGGTTGAGACGGATGATTCCCCATTCACAACAATTGTATGACATCACGGAAACAATAAAATGACGTCATAGCGCGTGTCAGCTGTCTTTCCCTACCCCGTGTAAGATTAATAGAATCCATACCTAATGTGAGGTATGGATAAGATTATTCAAACCCAAGGGATAAAACATTGAGCAGGAGACCCGAGGCTTTACATTGTAACTACATGATACACTACATGTATGGCCTAATAGAGGAAAGTAATTCTAATGTAAAATAAACCAAGAAGTCACGTGTTTCACACCGGCAATATCCATTTTATAACATTTGAATCCCTCTACCAACAGATACTGCAAATACGTATGGGGAAAAGCAATATGGCTTGGTGTGTGTGTGGTTATTAACAATGAAGGTTCATTGTATATTGATTTGTGTATTTTCTTGAAACCTACTTTACTGAACTTGAAAAAGGCGGACTAACTTGCAGACAAATAACCTCCTAAAGCTTTCCCCAGTTAAGAAATATGTTAAAATCACTACAATGTTGACATAAAAAGATGTCAGCTCCACATCCAATCATGCCATATCATGACGTACACTGCCTTTGATGTATTTGTGTGATGAGCGCGGTAAATGAAGCAGTAATGTTGACTTGGGATGAAAGAATACACAAAGGAAGCACTTGAACATTGCAATTAAAGTCATCATAGCATTAGTTTATATTATAGCTTAATATCATAGGACAAACAATTCCTCTTTAGTATTGGTATGTCCATATTCACATGTGTCCCGATTTTTGATTAACAAGAGAAGCCTTGCAGTGCGTTCCTGGTGAACAGTACCGGTGATTTTTTTCCGTTTTCGAATCGATTGACGTTTATACGGGAAATTAACACCACTGACAACCCACATGAGGTTAGAATGGGATTTCGCTAATTCATTTGAATTATTGTTTAGCATCAATTTGGTTCGTGCTTTAGTCATTATAAGACATTGGATTCAAATATTACTAAAACGCATTAAACAACTAAACATTCAAATCATCAAATAGTTTGTAACATTTGACAGGGCAACTAAACAACACCATTCTCTGCCTCTTATGTTCTTTTTTAACTTATAATTTATATTTAAAATTATTTTTTTTATTAAAAGAGTGATCTTGCGACGGAGCACAGGTTCGTTACAAATGTCTGAAATGCTTATGTGTGCTGTGACTCATATCAGTAGGTCTGTAACATATGTGTCAGTAGGTCTATAGAATATGTGTATTTCAGACATTTGTAACGAACCCCTGTTGATCAGTGCAGACGATATTTCTGATAAATTGCATGAGCGTTAAAAATGTTTCCATTGCCGGCCTTGGTGATTTCAACCGATGTGCATTTTGTACGATATTGCAGACCTTGGTCTTGTTTTCGTTGTAATAAAAGTGTTTTTTATCGATTTTTTTTAATTTTGTACCTAAATTTACAATGACATTGTCAAATCTCACAATGCCCAGCGATATTTCAGCAGCCGTCATGTTTATTTATATTGGATATTGTAGTTCCGGTCAGTGTTGTATTAATACGCCAAGAATTGTGTCTCGTGATGCATGGTAATTAAGGTCCCATCAACGACACAGCTTTCAAAGAGGCTATATAGTGACAATGCCATGCAAATGTAAATATAACACTTTATTGTAATTATTTTATGGTTAACGTTTAAGATTGTTAAAACGATGATTTATTAAAGGCTTGCGTCTGACTCCGATAACCGGACAAAACCTGTTTTAGATAGGTAAGCTATATTAACGCAACAAACCTTACTTGGAAATAAGAGCCATATCGAGTCCTTAAATATGTCTTGCTCCAACCAATCATAACTATAAAGGAGATGTTCAGTGAATCGGAAAGTGAAAAAATGTACCACCTAGTTTGGGTGTAACAGGTGTCTTTCCCGTCTGCCGAAAGTGAGAGTGTGTCAATCTGATGTTCTATTACAAAAGAGGCCTATATATTTTAGGAGTGTGATCCTAAGTCTCGTGCTAACAACCCGGATTGTGAATCGAGAGATCAACGGTGGTTATTAATAGATCAGCCAATGCCAAAAATAGACGCCCTTATGAAACTAATTTGTAGAACCACTTTACCCAATAACAGGTAATCTCTCTATATAGCGCTGAGAAAGAGCGTCTGTATATAGCTGTGACGATCAGTTTCTACAATTTACGTAAATCCAGTCCGTAATACCTTATCTACTAGTGCGTCATCAACTTCACCTCCGTCTATATATGTCCATGGTTTCCAATCCTGAACTGTATTCAATATCTCTCTAATTTAAACCTTTCAAATTTAGCAGCGTCATTCCCATCATTGGCCATACAAGATTTTATCGATTAGTGCTAACACTGAAAACATAATATTAATGTTCTAAGACAAAGGGATGATATGGTGAAGCCCCCTCGAGGGACGGATTGCAATATTGGTACTGTTCGAGCGAACTATGAGAAAGATCCTATCCCTTTTACCATGGATCTGGTAGTGGTAATGATTCACTTGAAGTATAGATGTCTAATTATCTATAGGATTTCCTATACAACAAAGAGGCTTTTCATCGTCACTTCACTTACACCTTCCCTGGGCGGGATCAAGTATTCAGAACACTGTGGCATCTATGACACTTGTAGTTAATAGTGACATAATGAAATTTGGCGTTTCCTCATACAATGATAGTAAGCCGGTGTAAGCCAAACGTAGTTAGATGGACATATTCATTGCCTGGTGTATCATCAACGACGCAGGAGGGTTCCATACTTTCTCACTTAATCTGAATTTGATTGACAATGATTGCTAAAATACCAAATACATAATAACTTCAGATGTAGCCAATGTGTGTACGTTTGGCGGGCGGATTGTGTACACAGCACAGAAAGTCACACGGCAGTGGTATGGTGACATCACCGACGAAAATATTCAAACTGCCCTGAACTGGTTGAAGGAATGGTGGATAACTCTTGTTATATGATATAATTATGATATGTTTCAGTGGCTTAGTGTATGTTATAACAATGATGCTATTGATGTAACATATAACACATGTCAATAGACATGTCATTTGATTGCATGCATAAATAAATAAAAACAATATCTTACTACTTCTAAACATTTTCTTCATGTTGGTAAGTATGGATTATGCTCTTTTTACATAACCAATACATTTTTTTTTGTGACGTTTCGATGACTAGTACGATATGTACACTGTCACCCTCATCAGACAAATGACCAGTGAAGGTGTAAAGTGTGTACGAGTTGTCCACAAAATAGATGTCGATTTCGGCTACGCTGTAAGCGTATGTACAATAGTTGTTATATCTGTACCGAAACGACTCGATTCAGCTACGCTTTGTTTAATACTTGAACACCGGAATGATACAGATTCCGAAGAAGGTAGGAAATTCACAGGATCAAAAAGGAAGCAGTCAGATAAATTAATCGGCAAAAACAGACCATGCCAAACAGAAAACTCATGTGACTAACTGGGATAACTCTAAAGTTTTGGACAGAAAGAGCAACCTGTTCAAGCGGCAGATAAAGGAAGCCATCTGGATACGCCGCACTGGTCAAGTTCAAAATCGATACGAGGGGGCTCAAAGACTATCGCACATCTATGACCAAGTATTACACAAAGCGTAACTGAATCGAGTCAATATCATACGCTTACAGCGTAGTGGAAATCGACATCGATTTTGTGGACAACTCGTACACATTTTACACCTTTGTGTGCTTCACTGGTCATTTGTCTGATGATTGTGACATTGGACATATCGTACTAGTCATCGAAACGTCACATAACAAATTGTGCAAAAAAGGACTTTTCATAATAAAATATCTTACTATAGAAAACCATATGACTTTTAGTCCAAATATGTTCGAACTATATATAGATAGATATATAAATGGGCCACGATGGCTGAGTGGCTAGGTTTTGAACTCTGGTTGCAGGCTCGAGGCCTATGATTGGCAGTCACCAGGTACTGGCCGCAGGTCGGTGGTTTTCTCAGGGTACTCTGCATCCTAGATGTTAATAGCACGTTAAGCACAAACAAAACAAACAAATATAAAGAATATAACTATAAACATCTTAATGCATAGGTATCTATAAACAAAATAAACAATATTTAGATACATGCATTTGAAGGAAATGTTAATGCTATTGATTTAAATGTACGTACATATGTCAAAAAACCACAATGTACAATGTAACTGTTACTTTTATATATGGGGCAAAGAAGTAATTCCAACAGTGTGGACAAGTTTAGGTTGTCAAATTTTCGGAGCGATCCGCTCCTTTTTCAAGACACAGTGAAACAGAACAGTTACATGTACATATACATCATATTACATCATGTTACTTTGATATATGTAAACGTTTCTATAAACTGTCATAACAACACGGTATTGCAATAATATAATAGTAATGTCCACCATAAGCTATTAAACTTTATATCATATCAGAATTGGAAGAGTTTATTACTGATCGCCTACATGGATAGATAACTCAGTAATAGTCAGCGTGGATTATAGATACCGAATTCCTAACGATTCTTACCGGACTCACTATATTACCAGTACAGAGTAATCACTCAGTAGGACTGAGCGTGATATAAAATATCTCACAAATATTTATTCAACCATATTATTACATTTTCTTTCTATGACTTATAGAAAGGAATCAAATATCTTCAACAAAATGGTAGAAATATCATAATAATGATACTCGATACAGTTACATGGTTATCACTTTTTAAAATGTTTTATTGATTAACTAACCTTTTTTTTTTGCAGAACTGATAAAATGGACAAACTTCCGATAACGCTGTTGCTCGCCACGTTGTCTCTGTTGGCCGCCGTCACAACTGTATATGGCGACTTTCCCGCCCATGACGATTTCGGTGCTAACCCATTTGAAAAGCAGAATTTCTTAAAATGGAACCTCATGTACGATAAATTGCGAAAACGGAGCAACATGGCCATGTTTCCAGGAAGGGGTTGGGCGTTCGGTCCGGACAGAAACCAGCTTTCCAACTGGAACAACTTGTTTAGGAGCCTGCCGAATACAAAACGGCACATGAGTGCTGAACCAGCAGGCTTTGAGTACTTCAACCCATTTGGGAGCAATTATCAGAACTGGAAAAGCCAGTTCGAAAGCAAAAGAAACCAGGACTAACCTTTAACGAGGACTTATTTCGATACGTTCTTTTGGGTGTGGCCGTGGTGAAGGGGAAACTTTGCTTCGTTTTAAGCTATCAATTTTAAGTTGACAAATTAATCATATAAGATATCTAAAAGATGTATTTGGTTAACATAGTATCAATCATGCACGTATTTTCGTCATTACACATAACACTTTAAACTTTGTTCTGATTAAATAAGTTTTTCCAAGTCGTATGTGTTTATAGTTTTTATATGATCGCATGTCTAATTAAGTATAATTACGAAGTATAAAGGTGACAGTGCAAGTTAAAAAGCTTTTAATTGAGATAAAAAATGTTTCATTTTTTTCTGGTTTTGAGATCTTCCCCATCTCTTCCGACTACCGTTTCTAAGGAAGTGCGGATATTTTAGTTTTCCTTTGCTTGGTAACGAGTATGGATCTCGCTGGATAAAAGTACCTGTCAAACCGGTTATCATCCTAGAACTGACCGTCTTGTGATTCAATGCACCATGCACCTTGATCGGCAACCGATATAAAAAATCAAACGCACTCACCTAAAGACTTTGAGACATTGTCAAGCTGGTTGTTACCTATGGTACATCCTCGAAATTGTGTTTCCAAAATAAAAGTATATCACTGAAAGTACTTCAATAAATCCCATATATATCATCGATCTTTTACATTCATAGAACTGCACCAACACACGAAAACTGTATCATGAACTCTCTAGTCTTTACTAGCAAAACACGTGCAAATGAGACTCCCATGTGGGTGGTCAACAATGTGAAAATTGATAATTGAACCGTTCTCATGGAAATGATTGGAACTAGTATTGGTTTCACACAGGATGTTATTACTAGTTGAATATCTAAAAGGTAGGCATTAGCGTTAGTCATTTGTTTGTTTCTTTCATTGGCTTTTGTTTTTGGGCTTTTTTGGGGTTACCAGAAGCATTTAGGAGGTCATTTCGTAAAGCTATGGCAGTCTGGAACCTGTGACGCCGTGCCTGTATGCGCAACGACCTCCTGGGAGGGTTTCCGTTAGTTTGGAAACTATGTCACATTCTTGCAACATCACTTTGAGACATCCCAAGGTCTGCTGCAACCTGACGTTGAGACAGGATTCCGATCCCAATTTGGCATACACAAATGACACATCCGAGAGGTATATCCTGAATGTACAGAGCTAAACAAATGAATCTATATGTACTACTCGAATTTTGCTAAGGATCACTCTATTTTTGGGCATATTTAGAATTAAATATTTTATTTGGTTTATACTGAGATTATTTTTAAAAAACTGATTGTTCTTTTAATTCATCAGCATGCAAAGTTTCCAAAAATCATATTTACCGTCGAAAAATGAGCAACAGGAAAATGGATACCCTTTAAATTGGTAGCAACAAGGTATTCACTAAAAAACTGAAATTGAACAAACTCATCCTAAACAAACAGAAACTGTTTTAGTATCGAGTGTGAAGCCCATGAGCATCACTTACAGTTCACAACGTCTGTACATGCCCCGAATGAGATCGCGTATCCGGTTTTGTGGGATAGCGTTCCACTCAGCTACTAAAACTGTTCCTAGCTCCTGGAGCAAAATGTGAGTTGTACATATAGCTATTTTTCATCAAACCTATTTCGTGGACAAAGTTTAATTTCTTCTGATGTACGTTCTATACAGACCAGCGACGTATAAACATCCCGAGTTAAAATGGCAATTTGAAAAGGTATACGCTCGTCGCTTCTCTTAAACACATCAAAAGGACATACACAGCAAGCTTACAAATAAAAGTAGAACATATGTTTATGTATTAACAACGGGCTAACAAACAAAGGTAGAACATATGCCTATGATTCAACGGCAGCTGTACAAACAAAAGTAAAACATATACATATGTATTAAAAGTGAGCTGAAAAAGAATAAAAGTATATATGTCTATGTATTAACAGCGAGCTTACAAACAAGTGTAGAACATTTGTCAACAGTGTATGTATTAACAGCGAGTTTACAAGCAAACGTTAAAAATATGTCTTTGTCTCAACAGCAATCTCAAAATCAAAATTAGAACATACGTCTATGAATTACGCTTGTTATATCGAGCCTGCAATGTAGAACAACTGAATTCTAAAAGTGAGCTTACATATAAACGTAAGATATAGTGTACACGAACATTTGTACTTGAGCGTATAAAGAGCTTACAATCAAAATAGAACACATGTTTATTTGCAGTACTTTTATAGTATATTTGTACGTACTGAAAGGTAGAACATATCAACGATGACAGTGAGCAAACACGAAAAAGTAAGAGCGAGAGAACAGAATGAGCAACAATATTTTTACAGTGAGCTTATAGATAAAAGTGTAAAAAAAAAAAAAATGATAATGAGATCAGGTGTTCCGGAAGAGTAAACGCCGTCTGCTTTAATTGCAGATACCCGTCTTACAATGTAACATCGAGAGCTCAGGTACTATCAACAAACCCACAAAGGCTCACTTATGAGCATAATTTAAAATATCGATCTTCACATCACACACACAAATGGCATACTTACCTATGCGAACATGATGGCGACCATAAAACGTGTCCGTTGTCTTCATCAACCGGCAGCTTGGAATCATGCAATTTTGTCCATTAGAAGTTTGGAATACCCAATCAACTGAGACATGGTAACACTGTATATAAGTGAAGCGCAATGTTACTATCAATAAAGGGAAATAACATATATACACAAACGGTGAGGTGGCAAACAAATGCAGAATATATTTACACTAGCAGTTTGCTTACAGAGAATAGTGTGGAATAAATGTACGCTATCATTATGCTTCTAGACATAAGAACATAATTGTAAATTATACGTACACCATCAGTGAGTTACAGACACCATTAGACGTCAGTGTTAGCATTAAAACCACACATCGATGTTTATACAAGATCAACTGGGCGATGTTTGTTTCCACTTTACATTTGGTAATTGATGCCGGCAGTACTGCTGCAGCTTGTCTATATCCACTTGGTTTGATTTCGTTGGAGGTGAAAATGGGATCGTTCTTATTCCCAGGACAGAAGGGGCGACTAATATGGAAAGAGACCAAGTGTTGTTTTTGGTAGAAAAAGTGCAGTCTACAGCCAAACATGCAGTGTACATAGGTACACAAGATGAATTTCTTGTGCACAATTGCAAATCCTTCGTGCTACAAACCAATTTCTGGACTAAAACAACAGAATCCTCACCAACGTGCCGGGATGAAGCCAAATGTACAAATATTTCAAGATTGGTCTTATCCACTGACATCAGTACATGTGTTACAACGTTCTATCATGCATTACAAACATATCACTTAATACGGCATCGCAGTACATGCCTATGTGATGAAAACCATGATGGAGACGCCGAACCAATTCTACATTATAAACATATTGACATATTGACCCCTGGTTAGGTAATAGGTAATCACAAAGAAACAAATATCAATAATGTGCCAAATACACAGATGTGCACATATCCCAAACGCATTTTAGCGAAAACTGTATACATTGCTTTTTACATTTTGTGAAACCTGATGATTTTCAATGAAAGTAAAATCACTTTATTTAGACACCAAATTAAATCTAGCCTTTACATTAATGTTCCTTTTCGTATTACCCTTCAATATACATGTTTATGGCTTTATTACCGACGGCTTAAACGCCAGCTGGCTAGCTAAGTTTTAGGTTATACTTTGGTTATAGTTGCTACCATGTTTGGGATATTTGCAACTCTTTTGTATTTCTGTGTTTTTCATACCCTAATTACCAAGTATAATGGACACAAAAATATATTACTACAAAATAAAATGTATGTTGATTAAATTTTATATGTACCAGAAATTTAATCATCGGGCAAATTCGTGCATATTCATATTGTATCCGTTACTAAATAGTTATATATATATATACATGTATCATATTATTTTACATCATTTGAAATGAACAATCCTGTACATCAATTTTTTATTGTCACGTATTGTCTTACAAAAAGGTTCTAACGCCAAATGTGTTACCCGTTTCCAATGATTAATTTTTGACAGTAAGCAAAATCTTCATAATTATAATATCAATCCATTATGTCCATATATCTACCAACAATGGAGAGGACTTATACAGGCTATAAGCCTGTTGTCCAATCCTTTTGACAGTGTAACATTCTTCTCTGTCAATAAAATATGTTGAAATGATATGTGTTTTTCAACATGACGATACATTTTTGATAGATACCACATGGTGGACTAATCAGTAATACAGAAAAGTCACCTAAGGGTGTTTTATTTCGTTCACATTTCTTGTTGGAGGTGTTCTTGTTAGGAGACAGACACATTGCAAGTGGTACGGTATACATGACAAGGTCCTGTATTTCTCACTCTGATGATATAAGATGATGTATTATCCCGATAGTCTCTTTTGTTGGAACCCAATAGATGTTATTTACTGGTCAAATCGCCGAATGGATGCAAGAATTAGTTTCAACACTTTTGCACTAATTTAAGCTATAGTGAAGTGATTCCGTCTTCTTCCTATCTTTGTAAACCATTGATGTTCCATTTGAGTTTTCGGAAACGTAAAATATGGAATAATGATGATCTATGTTATGCAGAAAAATATAATATACATAGAAAAAACAATTGAAGATATGTAATACAAGCAATACCACAAATATGTGTCCATTACATTGTAGAAGGCACGGTAGTCTAGTGGTAGGACGCCGGGCTCGTGACCAACTGGTTGCGGGTTCTAGTCACGGCACGGCACTGTGTTGTATCTTTGATCAAGATAATTTACCCCGCTTGTTCCAGTCTTTTCAGCTGTAAATAAGTACGTGGTTGGGCAGTGCTAGAATTGTTGAATGCTAGCTGCTAGCGCCGTAATGGCAGCTCCGGCTGTATGCTCCCAATGGAGTTGACAAAGGTATTGGCTGGTTGCAAAGGCCCTATAACCACGAATATTAATTTGTGAACCGCTTTGAGACGACGTATGAACTAGGTTGTGATAAAGCGGTATACAAAAACCTCGAATTAATATTATTCATCTGTGTGTTCATCTGTTTATCAGACGTTTCAAATAACTCACATTTATTGAGAGATTGGATATATTAAATTCAGACCACAGCCCTCATGGAACATATTCGTACGCGCAATGAACTCGTTCAATGTGAGACATCGATTTAATACATGTGAGGTATTGTC